CAAACCCCAAAGCTATATTATTAATATTTTCACGAAGTGTTATTACTTTAGAACTATTATCTAACAATTATATAAAAATTAATTAAACTAGAAGTATTTTAATTTCTGCAAATAATATTACGAGTTGGGTATGTGCTAATACCTAAGCCTGCCGGTGTTTTCTCGAATATGAAACCCATAAGATTAGGCGAATAAGATCTGTTTTTTTAAATGTATTAATCAATGTTTTCACATATAGTGAAATGATACCAAATAATAAATATCAATGATGAAAAATTTACAAGATATTTTTCTTCTCAGAGTACTGAGAACTAAAAATTAAGCACATAATTTCCTTACATTATAATTTGCAGTGTAATGAATTGTGACGGTTAAGAATTAGTCAATCTATTAACATCTGAAACTTTTTTCTAAATTGGTGTTTTATGCTTCATTATCAGCAGTTGCAAACATGTTCTGTACAAATGCAAGCATTATGAGTTCAATTTGTGCACGACACCTGAATATGATCTACGACTTTAAAATTAAATATCTTGGTCAATTTTTGTCTTACGGGAGTTAAACGTTTCGCATTTTGTTTTTATATCGGATTTAATTTTTTTTAAATATAAGTACAAGGGCCAGGGATAACGTATTGAAAGCTTAGATTTCGTAATTTTACAAAATTGCTTTTTAAACCTTAAAAATGATAAAAGAGGAATATTTTGAATATTTTCATCAGTTAAAATATTGCTGATATGTCTATGACGCACGGCTGTAAAAATCAAGACTTTATAATGGCTTTTATAATGGTCTATAATTTTCCTTTCTGTGCGATGTAACTTTTATTTCTTTAGCTTTTCATATGAATTTTGCTCATTTGTATGCTAAAATTTCAGAATGGAATTGGTTTTTGAGTTATATTCGTTAATTGCAGTAAAATAAGAGCGAAACATTTTTAAAGTACGTTTCTGTTTCCTGTATTCCTACGCAGTTAAAACATTTCGTACTCTCAACAATATATGCATAAATACAGATAAAGCATTTTCTTAGACATTATTCGAGGAATTATTCTGGTAAAAATCCAAAGAAAATTTCATAATTACTTTTGTGTATACAGTTGAATTCTTTGATAAATTTATTGTATTAGTTTAAGTAGTTTAAGTTAAGTAGTTAAGCTAAGAGTTCTAAGTAGGTTATGAGTTTGAAATATATTTCTGTTAACATTTAAAAAGTGATATTTTATTTTTAATTTATGTTTTAAGTTATTACATTGTTAAATAAATTTGCTGTGACAAGCAAACGTAACTGGCATCTGATTTTTTTAACGTCGAGAAGCTAGAATCTAAAGAACAATACGAAACCTTTTTTTATATGAAAATCAGAGTTATGCTCACAAATATCAGTATTCTTTTCATCTGCGTTTCTTTTTAAGATTCAGATCTATACTTGCTGCTGTTGTCCTTCGTTTAATACTATAAAGAATTATACTGCTGGCTATCCAAAATGCAGCGCTACGAAGAACAAGGGATGACAAAACGATTTTAACTGGACAAATAATATAAGGTACAAGGATGAAATGATTAAATTACAGCCCAGCTCGATTTGCGGAACACACAGAAATCAATATTTTGTGCAGCTGCTATGGCTGACATTAACTGCTGAGAGTACCTCGGCGTTGAAAAAAGGAAGCTTTGGATGTGTTTTTGGATTTTCAGTCCATGATGTTTATCCGCCGTAGCCATGGGAAGTACAAGCTCGACCACGCGTTTCCCAATCGTTTACCATATATATTTGATGTGAGACATAGGATAATAAGTGAATGGGTGTTCAAAGATAGCAGTTTGAGATGGTGTCATTGAAAAATTGTTGAACATTAAATGCCACGAGCTTTTGCTCGTTATCCTTTTGAAACTTCGTCGCAGGCAAGACTTGAAAGTAAGGGAGGACAGCGAGGTTCAAAACTTCAAAGACGTAGTGGTGGCTGATGAATGGGCATTTAGGAAGCCGTTAAAGTGAAGTAAAATCACATGTCAACTCATAACTCTAGATGACGGATTTCTTAGTTTTAAGTATAGTGACAGCAACAGTATACACTTTGTTTGTGTCCGGAGTTCAGCGAACCATTGCAAACACACTGTAGAGTCATTAGGTTTTTTTTTGAAAGCAGGAGACATGAAAAATGTACAATGCCATCGCCGGGACTCGAACCTAGGACCTCTCGATACGCGCGGAGCGTGCTGACGATTACACCACGAAGGTATGCTAAGAAGGCTGGAGGAATACCTTATATACTCCCACTTTTAAAGGGCGAGTGGTGCTTAGGGGACCCAATCGCCAAATTCTGCTGGTGGAGAATCATCATCCACCACCTTTTTTAGTTTGAGCGCCACTTATAGTGTCTTTGAGTTCTCTTTGGTAACATACACTGTAGACTTTACGTAGAAGACGAGGTATTGAATACTATGTCTTTTGAGAATAAATACTGCAGAGGAAGGTTTTAAATAAGCTTTTATTTAAACTAAATTAAAACAGATGCACACGCCTGTGCTCCCAAATCACCACCACTTGTGGTTAACGTAAATTTAACAAAAAATAAGAATGTGACAAATCTTTAAGAAATTAATATATCTGATGACTGGCTCCTTAGCTTAACTAAACGCTAAATCGGCTGCACACAGCAAAGCCGAGCCTAGAAATATCAGTATAAACTGAAAGGCGTCTAACACCGACCAGAGAGCTAAATTCGAACACGCAACATAAACTCAGAACTAAGTCCGCTACTACCCTTTCCGAACTCTTGAAAAGCAGCTTAAATACTGCTTCTGAAACACGTTTAGATTAACATCTAATGTTATTACAAATTTACATTCCGGCAGGAAGCTGAAATCATGAGGGAAAGGAAAGTCAAACTACTCGTAAAAATAATTAGTTGGAATAACACAAGTCCTTGCAAAATGTGGTGTGTCAAATGAGTCGCAGTAGTGGTTGCCTTGAAATTATTCCTCTCGAATGTATATCATCGAATGATATCATCGAATGGTATCATCGAATGATAAAGATATCATCGAATGGTATCTGCTGTCATCGAGTGTTGCGCAACCGGTTCTAGTTCTTTTCTATAGGGTGTTTGATGTTGCTTTGCGATCCATCATTATGCCACGCTCACAATATGAATGTCCTCTTGTTCGGCGGTGAGAGAATGAATATATAATTTACGCGGTCGGTCCGTCCCTCCTGCACTATCCGATTCCATATTTTCAGCATTGTGGCTTGATTTCGTCCAACGAGCACCGAGATATTGAAATGATAAAACGCATTATTAGCGACAATGGTTTCTTTGTAAAACTTAGAAACTTGCTTGAATGATTGGCGTTTTTTTCCCTCGAAGAGGCATGCTGAAGCTTTCCGCGCAAAGGAAATGCGAGGAAACGCACTATTCTAGAACTTAAAGCAGCTCACTGTTCTTTCATTTTATAGAACTTTTAAGTAGCGCTATTGGTGCATATGAATTTCAGATTTACTGAGGTACTAATCACTGATATGTCCTGCCGAGATTTATCCACGGTATAAATTTCAATCTTATTGGATTCTTCCTACATGGTGTTGCATTTTGGATGGCCAGCATTGTACCTGAAATTTAATTTGTATTCAGCTAAACTTTCCCAGTTTTAATATTTTACAGTTCAAATTAATATTATTTTAAACTACTCCTGTATGTTCGATGCTAACAATTTAAGCTATTCGGAATTTTTGTGTTATCAGAAATTTAATTATCAAAACTGCCCTTTTGAAATGTTAATAAGTATAGATACGAATGCTTTTGTTACTGGACAACATAATTTTTTACTTCGCATAAATTATAAATATTGCTAAGATGTTCGTAGAGAAAGAAAGTTATAAACTTATTTGCTTTTGAAGTTAAATTGATTAACACTTTCTTCAGGAGTTGAGGCATTCATTTATGATTGTACTTAGTTTTTGATTAGTAATTTTTTTGCTTGCTGGTTGATGACAAATTGCAATTCCTGATCCATGCCTTCATTTTTACTTTATATGGATGTAAGGTTTAGGTTAATAGTTGTGTAATCTTCCTTTAAAGCAATGTTAAAAGTTGGTATCATTTTAGCAAAATATAAGGCCATAATTGCTCTGTTTTTCTCTTTTTATGTCATGACATCAGCATCCACAAGGACGCAAAATTTTATGTTTCATTAGAATCATGATGTTATGGTAAACTGCGAAATTCTAAAAGCAGTTCTACATGCGATATTGTTAAACGTGATATAAACGCATCGCAGGATATGAGAATATATTCTTTTTATCTCATAACAACTGGAAGATATGAAATGCTAGATTAGTTTCGAACTGGTATTTTCTAGACACTGCGGTAGTCGATTAGCTTAATTGTAACCTGTCGCAGTTATTTATATACACATTTTATATTTTAGATGGTAATTACATCTAAAATATAAAATGTAATTATAAAATGTAATGTAGTAATTTCAAAACAGTATGGTAAAATTTTTATACTCTGATATGATACTTTTGATAGCAGTTAAGTCATATCAGTTTAGATTTTAATGCTGTGTGTCTTCTCGTGTGAATTTAGAGCATGATGATTTTGATACATTTTGATAAAGAGTTCTATTTCTTAAATCTGGCCATAAAAATAGAACATATTGCTCGATTGGATAGGTATTTTTGTTGTTTTGACTGAAGGCAATTTCACTGATGTATTTAAGAGACTGTAGAAGAAATGTGTGATTGTGTGTGTTGTGTGTGTGTGTGTGATTATGGCAAAGCTGGCAAAGGGAAACTGGCTCGTATACACGTTACACATGGGGAAAACCACGAAAACACCCATGCAGCCAGCCCGTTCGCGGGATTCGAACCTCCGACCGAACTACCAGTGTTCAGCGACTTTACCGCTCGGCCGCTGGTGGGCTCCTGTAGAAGAAATGAAAATATGATATGTGGAATTTGTTTCATGAATGAAGACAAGACTAAATAAAACAAGGAACATTATGAAAGTACTTTTATTTCCTGGTCGACAATTGTTTTTGATAAATCCATTGCCAGTCTCTGATCTGTACACAATCAGATACTTTTGACACTTTAGCTTAAACATCGATGGTATCAATTTATTACATACACACACGCACACACATGTATATATATATATATTTATTTGTTTATTTATATATAAGTAGCCAATAAAAATGTGAACAAAGTGTTGCCACATTACATGAACATTTGCATGAACACGAGTAGAAAATTTTTCAGGTATTAAATTAATTCTATACACCTATACTTCACTCAGTGATATTTCATGTGATATTCACAACTCATATGGCTGTAGTGCGAATAAAAAATCACATATTTTTCACAAGAGTACCTCTGTAACCAGTTTAATACTGCGAGCGATTTAGATATGCTATCCATACTTTAAAGTAGATTCAACTTCTCTGTAAAAGCACGCGAGTATTATGACTCTACAATAATAAAAATTAACAAAATAAATAGAGAAAAAATTCAAATGAAAATATTTTAAATCACTAGAGTATAATGATGAAAACCTTGTAGACTTATGTTATAAATTTAACACGATAATAACATATGTAGTATTTGCAGAAAAGTATAGAAATAAATATAACAGTTTTGAGTGAAAAGTTTAATTTTAAATGGGAAATTCATACGTTGGAAAAGGAGTTACAGTTTCACACACACTTCTCTCAGGACAAAATCAAATAGCCAAATTCAAAAAATAAATCATTGCTCCCATAGTCCTCTGATTTCTTCAAGTACTAGAAGTGGAGTTGTTTTGCTTCCAATATTCAATTATTTCGGAAATAAAAGAGCAAACTACATATTACTTCAAAGATTTTCTAAATTTTAGATATCAGTTATGAGTGACAGAGCATTTTAATAATACACTGATCTTATTCAGAGACAGCTTAAGTTTAAAATCTCATTCCGAAGTAATTACTATTACATCATTCGTTTGTCTCTCGTGGTGGGACTTTAAACTGCGAATTTTTAGCTTTTAATTTTTCCCCATTAAATAAATTGATACATTTAAAAATTACCACATTTTCTTTTGTTTTGATGGACGTTGAAACATCGGAAAACATTATTGAAACATTGATGGACATTGAAAAAGGTCGATTTTAAAGTTAAGGTATTATTTACAACTCTGAATTAATGAATAATTATGAAAATCGTTTTCGCAAAGTGTGCAAAAAATGGTATTTCATGAAGTAACGAATCTATTTGATCTCTCTTTTCATCGAATCAGCAAAAGTCAAACTTAATTGTCATTAGTCAAATCAAATCGATCAATTTGTTTTTTAAATGCAAATAATGATATTAAGGCGTCCAAAGGCGTGGCAAATGCTTTGTACTAAGAATGAAAAGAGTAAATATGATGCAGGGAGTGTTAGAACAGAAAGTTATATTACTTATTATGTTATTTACCTGTACCTATTACTTGTGCATATAAAAAAATAAAAGGCAGCCATTAAGACGAGGATGAATATAGCTAATGACATTATTTTAGGAATTTGTTTTTGTATTTTGGAACGATTTATGCATTTTTAAAAATGCTACTATGAATAAGGTACAGAAGACTTTTCAAAAATGCAATTTAAAGTCTCTCCATCATGTTGTAAACGCCTCAGCCGAAGAGAAATTGCTCTAATTTCCAAATTGACATGCTAATTTGTTTAGAATCGTATTGTGTTTTCAATAGTTGTAATTAAGAATTAGTTAGGATAAAGGAATGAACGAGTGAAGATGAAATGAATTAATTTAAAAGCGAAAAGAGTAATTTTAGTTGATTTTTATAGCTTTTTGTATATTAAAATGCATTTAGTTAATTTATAAATAGGCTACTAAAAGTGTGATGAAGACGTAATAATATGTGTTAAAGGAAAAAAAAAAAGAAAAAAGAAGATGCCTTCACGAAAAATATCATAACGCGTGTTATATTAAATAAGAACTTTTATAATTCATTGAGCTTTAAAAATCTTAAACCTGAAAATTAATTTTGAAGTGAATTCAGAAGCTTTAAAAATGATTTTATGATGAAAGTCATATGATGAAAGTCATAGTATTCCCTCTCAATGCTGTTCCTAAAAGGGACGTTTTCTTTAGGAAAGCTTTTTTCAGTTTTAAAGGAGAGCTATGCAATTTAAATTTCAGTTTTCAATTTTTATACATCCTGTTAACCTTTCTAGTTTGAAATGTTTTCCCATATGCCTTTTTTGTTATACTTCAATATATTTTTAAACCTCATTTATATAGAGAAACTTTAGCGAGCATGTATTTAAATGAATATTCCTGACCAGACAATATCTTAGTGTCATATATAAACCTTTCTTCGTGAGAAATATTTGGATGGAACATGCTAATAGCATAAAGGCGTGAAATCTCATCCATTCCCATACAACGATTTTATCACCAATGAGAGATAACGTGATGCGATAATAGCACGGAAAAATATTCAGTTTAAGGAAGCCTTCAGTTTAATTTCCAATCATAGAAGTTAAAGCTTTCTCATCTAAGCTCTAGCATCTTCCTGTCAACATGTTATTTGATAAGATATAAAATTTAGTAACAGGTGAGAGGGGCTGCTGAGTCTATTCAATTACATTTACTTAGCTAACGAAGGCATATTTGCAATAATGAGCGGACTGAAATATCTATGACTATATTTAAACTGGAGAGATTCCTCAGCTCTAATTTTCACATTATGGGTTATCTTCAATTTTAACCATTGTTTATATTACATACGCACTTAAAAGTTGCTTTGCTAAATATCTCTTAAAATGCTGGTCACGGTTTTAGTTTAAGAAACGAAACCTATGAAGTAGAGTTTCAGATTATAACCATTTTAGTAAAGTGACACATTTTAGTAAAAATATACTAAACCTGATATAAGAGAAAAGGTTTAGTCAGCAAGCTGTTCCTCACTCGACTAAAGATCTTTTTAGGAAAACTAGTACTACTATAATACACATAGCTGAAGTTGGAAAATAGTGTCATAACTTTAGGACTAAAGCTAGTGTCACCCGAAAAAGGACTGAAAAGAATATAGATTTAGGGGTTGGATGATGTTGAATTTCATAACATTCAAATTTTCAAAATATAATATTTCTACAATTGATACTTTGAAGCCAATATTTCTAAATAAATGCTTTCAAATTAATCCTTTAGAAATTTACATTCGAAAATTTATATGACTGCAATATGTAACAATATTTGTGCAAAGTTTTTTAAAATTCAGTTTATTCCTTAAGAAATAATATTTAGTCAAGCACAGGTTTTCCACTAAACATTTGTGAACTGACATGACGTAAAAAATGTGCACAGTTTCCCTCTCAGACGGTATGGATATGCCAAACAACATCTGTAGTTTTTTATGGAAATTATTGCAAGTGTTATTATCGTTAGATTACATTTTGCATAATTACAACAAGCCGTAAATAGATAACTAAAATGGTCACCAGTAAACTTTTTGTTGCTGAACTCCACTGAGTAATTTTAAAAACATTTCGTTTGCTTTTATTTCAGTTTAATTTATTTTTAATATTAGTTACAAATATATTAAGTTTAATGTATCTAGTCTTGTCCAGAGCAATCTAATTAGCTAATAAAATAAGATAAAACAAGCCCGAACTAGCGAAGCGGAAATCTTTTAAATTTAAATGACTCCAGGTCTCTTAACTTTAATATTTATTTAAAAAGGAGTAGTCATTAAAATTTCTGTGTTTTATTTTGCATGAAAGTATGCTCAAAAATCTACTTTATCAAAATAAAAAAAAATGTTTTAATTTTTGTTCCTTGTAGAATGTATTTATGTAAAACTTACGATTCGTAACATTAATAATTCTGCATGTATATTTTACCCATAAACATAAAGAATAGGTTACTTTTACTCAGGCAGAAAGGACAAGATAATAAAGTATTACAGTATTGCAGCATATATTGATGTAACACATGAATGCTTAAGCTATACTTATTTCAGTAGAATTAACATTTGAAACACATCGAAGACGATGTACGTTATGACAGATGACAAATGACGGATGACTATACGATTGTTAAAATATTTTTAACAAATTAAAAGAAGTATAAGTAAGCTCTCATAGTATAAGCGGAGATCTTAAATTTTATTTAATTTGATTTCTTCTTGATATTTATGATAGCTCTACTAAAACCATACAAAATTACCTTCTTTTCTAAGATGATGGTTAATGAACGTTTGTTCTTAGAATTAGGGGAAAAAATCACGTCTTTTTAGTTTTCTTGCAGCACGTAGCGGATGGGCGATTCGTAATTTGTATGTCTCATTTAATCAGATGTTTGAAATTTTTTTTTATTTAAAGAAATCTAAGAAAAATTTTAAAAGTATATCCTTCTGTCGTGTTACAGAATTTCATCGCTGAGGTTTTACTTGAATATTAAATGCAGTACATTTTATTAATTAAAATTATAACAATATTAATGTTTACAGCAAATTTTTAAGAGTAAGTCAAAGAATGACTGAACATAACAATAAAGGGCAAGTTTATAATAGTTGTAAAAGAGATAGAAAATGCGCGTATATACCCAGACTATTATACATAATTAGTATGCATATTATTAATTACTGTAATAGAATTAATACGTAATTAGATATATGTATGCGTAAGGATTTTAAATGGAAATTAAAAAATGATCAATAATTTCATAGATGCTGTTATATAAAATAGTTCATTCAAATATACAAGAGAAATACGTGTAAAACGGTACTAGGAAAAAGTTTTTTTCCTTTTTCATAAATTTAGCTAATCTTCATCTTATGGTACTTTGATGAGCTTTGAATTTAACAATAGATGCACTGGTGATAAGCACAGCCTTTTTAATTTTATGTATACCTTATGTCACCTGCTGAGGCGAATAAAAAATGTTTTTATTTTATGTGTTTTGACACTATTTGATGTGCAGTGTGCACACGCATGACATTAGTGTGAGATATCATCACACTTCTGGATTTTTCAAATGATATTAAAATGGTAACTTTTCCACGGCTTCAAAGTTGGGGCATCCCATATGTCGAAAATTCGGAACAGCTTTGAAATACGCGAGTTTTACACTTTGCTCTCCCTGTTATGCCTTCGGTCAGTTAAATTTTATGAGCATGTTGTACAGAAAATTTTGAATAGTAATTTACCAAATATATACGGCAGAAGAATGCTGAAAAGAGTCATTCATTCACTCCTACATTAAAACTCATCACATGAAAAGGAATTCTACTGATAATTAGTATAGTCGTATACATTTCTGTTATAGTTATAACTTTTGCAGAGAATATGGTTTCCTTTACATTGTGTTTATTAAAGAATACTTTATCATACAGCTTGTGCATAAGGATTATGCAGTGCGAGATCTATAAGAAACCGAATGGAGGATATGAATTACTCTCTATAACTTTTGAGAGTAATATCAGACAAGTCTGAATAGTACTTGCTAAAATTTAAGGTATGAAGATAAGTAGGAGTAAGTTACAATTTTGAGTATACGACATCAGTTTTCTAAATAACACTCTAGCGGTTATTAAAAGGGTAGCGAATGAGCAATACATTCATTTGGTATAAAAGAGATTATAAACTCTTAGTTGTTTTTCATGAAATATGACGATGAAGGTAGATCTTGTTTTTTGATTTTATATACATATTCTTAATTTTCACTTTTATATTCGAAATTTACCATTTATTTAAATGTAGAACGCGATTTAGTGGAAGATAACTCAGTCAACCTAGGAAAACACTAATATTTCTCAACATTTTGGCGATATCAACAGATGGTCTATCGCTATTGTCTTGAATAAATATACTATGCTAAGTCTTCATACTCAATAATGATGACTGATACTCTTTGAATATTTATCCTAACAACATTCCTTACTTTTTTTGTTAATATTTTATGTCTGTAGAGTCTAACACAACTTTTTTTCCTATGATATCATCACCTGGGTTAACAAGGTAAAGGATAAATTAGACCCAATTTTCTGTAACTAATTGACTTGGCAAGATGCATTTATTTCGCGACACCGTACCTCGCCATTTACCATAAAGTATTTTGCACTAAAGGGCAAAGATGTAGGAGAGACAAAACATTTGTCTCATAGCTCTATAGTTTGATGTTCTTGCTGAAAAATGACTGAAGTAATTACTTCGTTTCTATTAAATGACGAAAGTAGTTTTCTGAATTTAGAGTTCTGAGAAAAAAAAAATTACCTAAAGTTTTACGAAGTTAGAATATGCTTTAGATATTCTATATCAGTTATAAGATATTTTTACTGTGATTTTTTATGATTGTCTGAAACATTTATTAGGTTCTTTTAAATCATATCTTCATATCACAACGTAATATAGTATACATTTTTTAAATTCCAGAGTTTATTAATTTTTATTTTAAACATAAGGCTAATAAATAATACATGAATTAGCGACTGTTATAGATACCGAACAAAGTTTTCGTTTTGAAAATTATTTATGGGAATTTAAAATATTTTGTTACACGAGAGTCATTGATAAGTTTTGAAAAGCTGGAACATTCACAGAATTCTGTTAGCTTTTGCAATTGAACATTGCTCAAATATTGTATGGATTTAATGCATTATCAGTTCTATAGAAGCTACTAATTTAACACATTATCTTTTGATATTTTAGCTAAATTACTTATTCAAAATCTGAAAAATGTAATTTAATTTTCGACATATTCTTATCTTTAAACATTTGTAAAGAACTTAAAATGATTAATATTTATTCCTTTTGAATCAAAGGACAAAATGACCTGAGACTATTACACGAAACATAAATACATATAGCGATTCAGATTTAAAGATGTAATGAAATAGTAGCTAAAACATTATCAATAAATATCTTATACATTTTGATAAGTTTATGCAACTAATTTAAATTAGTCATTAATGACTAATACTAATGCATTACGTAGACATTTTAGTACTGTTATTAGTAGATCATGAATTGAATTAAGGTCATAATGTTATGTTCACCTTCCTTCATGGGTAATTTTTCTAAGCAACCCTGTGAGCTGATTTAAGTAAAATCATAACCTTTTATAAAACGAAGTGTTATTTCTTTCCCTGCTAGATGAAAGTTTTTAGAGAGCGTATCAGTAATAAAGATAATTGTTATCAAATCTAGCGCTTGACATGAGAAAGATGAACTTACAGAAAAGGATATAAATAAAGTCACGAAATAACGCGTTTCCTCTAATAAGACATATGGAATTAAGTTCAATAGTTGATTATTGATTACATAACATTCATTGAGATACTGTAGTTACTTAATGTAATAGTCCAACATTTTTCTTCACTTTTCAGAGTCAAAAGTTAACTATAGTATTCAGAAAACTCATTGCCAGGCTAGTGTTAATATAAATATATAACTGAATATAGAGGTATACAAATAACGCCTTGTACAGACAAACTCTAAGCAGCTGTCTGTCTGGTTCACACAAGCATCAACAATTAGCTTTGCTTTGTTGACATCAGACCGCAATGATAAACATGCTGTCCACTGTGATAGATATATATATAATTCATATTTGAATTCCTGTTTTACGTCTCTTACATATCAATCTTACATTTCAATACTATTCGCAAAGATGCTAATCAATCACTAAAAATCACTGATATCGATACAATGACGTCTGAATTATCAAGAACTAGTAGCTGCTGAAAATATTACACAGCCTATGAAAGCCTAAAATCATATAATTGCTCCAGATTAGGAAATGATTAGCGTGATCTTGTTGCTTACAAATTTTAGTCATTGGAAAGAAACACTTTGATTTAGAAAAAACACGAAATATATCAGATCCTTTATGGAATGTGTATAATAAATGCGCAATTTGCTGTAGTTAAGTCACGCTGTATAAAATCCTATTAAATCTTCTTGAACAGCTTCTTTTCAATTATGGATATATATATATATATATATATATATATATATATATATACACGTATAACATATACATATACTTACATATATATACGTATAACATATACATATACTTATATATATATATATATATATACATGCATATATCTACATATGCATGTATACATACTTATTACTTATATATACATACATACACATAGATATGTTCATGCATTTATTATATATATAAGGAGAAAACGAGGGGTCCATAAGAGTTCTTTTTTCTGTACAAAGCATCCAGTGCAGAAACATTCGCAGTTTCAAATTTAGCTGTAAATTCCATCTTGAGAGAGCACCGTGTCTTATACTTAGGTTTTGTAACAGAACATACGATCATGCGAAGACAGAAAATTAGATCAAGGTGCAGGAGATGCCCACGTGTTTGCTAGAAAGAAAGAGAAGTCATTAGTGCATTTCATGTAATATATTTTACAAATCAACAAAATTTTAGATAGGATTAGATTAGATTAGATAGATTAGATTTCTAGGATACTATTGCTTACTGAAGTAGAGTTTGAAACTGTTGAGAAATTCGAACTTCTTCTTTTTTTTGTGGTTAAAATGAATTCTGCACATTAATTCATATGCTCACATACCCATACATGCAAGCAAACGAACATGAACACACACAGACAAACACACATACAAATAAAAATTAAGTATTGAAGCCGTTTTAGAACGGCTTTACGTTTATACGTTTTAGACGGGAACGTTACGTTTAGACGGGAACGTTTTAGAACGGCATTATTAGCTTTTAACCCGTTGTTTCGAAGATTAAAATAAAATATGTTCCATGCCATATGTAATGCCTGACTATAAGCGTAGCTTATCCACAAAAAATTGTGTCATTCTGAATTATAAAAATAAGGCTTAGAAAATTCTAGCTTATCATTTTAACATTTATATTCCGCAATATTAAAACGTGAAGTTGTAGGTTTCTATTATTTTTACTAATACTAGTTATTTTAATTTGTTAGATTTTTCTGTCGTTTCTTATCTCCTTCCGACTTCCTTGCTAATATGTAAATCAGTTACGGGAACAAGAGTATATTTAAACTGAAGTAGCGAAAAGTTTGGTTAGAGCGTGGTTTTGCTATTGAGAGCGCACGTTGTTAATTCGAACAGCCATTGACCTTTGCATTTCGGCTTCGCATTCTTGCTGCTGAAATTATTATCTTGTCGGTGTAGGTTTCTAAGTCCACTTTCTAGGTTAAATCATATTACATAGTCTTGCACTACTTTGAATTTAGTTTGTTACATTAAGTTCCTTGCCACAAGCAGTAGTCCGTAAGCACAGTCCGAGCCGTCTGTAAACTATTGTGTTCATTAAAAGGGATTTTATACCCCCTTCTCTGTTGTATTTAAGACAACAATCTTCGAGTCTTTAAGAGAACTCTCAATTTAGATTTTTAAGTAGATATAGTAACACTGTATATTAGCAAAGAAGACTAGATTCTACAAAGTGATTAATTTTTTTAAATGTTTCTTTTTCTATTATTAAAAAAATTTAAAAGCTTGCTAAAGTAATGAAACGATCTCGTTTCTCTTTCAAAAGATAACTATATTCTTTTGCGGAAAATACTGAGTAGTATAAACCTTTTGAAATTTATAATTCATTAGTACTGAATATGAGTTCATTAATACCTCAATTTGTTTCTTTAAGCTAAGGAACCAAATATAAAAACGAAATTTACTTAAAATGTGACTTTATTTACTTAAAATTTATAACATGAAAATTAGAAGCTTGTTTAACAGTCCCATATTGAGAAACGTGGAATAAAGTATTAAATCCTGTATTTGCATAATCCTTTAAACGGTGAAAAAAATTACGAAATTATTTTCACATATCAAATTAACGGGAACTAACATACACAAGCGATATTCTTTAAAAAAAACGGACAGCACTGAAATGCATGCATTTATTAAAAAAAAAGGGTAAGTATTTTGGTCAGACTCAGCTTTCTAACGCTACGCATTTTGTTAAAATTTGTAGAAAAATAAAAATTACCTTTTTTTTAAATGCTTTCTTATGATGGTTATAAGACAATGTTGAACATCAAAATACAATATAAAATCCTTTTTGTTGAATTTCAGGCATTTTAAGTTTACTAAGATACTATTCTTGAAAGCTTAAGCATAAGCACAAACAGGATGTGCATAATTAATTTGAATAAAGTTCAAACATAGTGTCTAAGGAATGTTTTTATATTTCTCTTTTACTTTCTTTCACGGAAATTTCTCATAAATTTGGCCCTATTAGTGGCAAAGTGATAACGATCGCTGAATGCTGGTAGTTCGATACAGCTTCGAGCCAGGCGAACAGCTGGCTTAATGGGTATTTTGCTTGGTTTTCCCCTTGTGTAACTTAAATATGACCTAGTTTCCCTTTGAAGGTTCTCTTCAAAAGTATCCCTTCCCTTAGGCAGGTGACAGTTGAGAGCGGATCCTGACACCCAGACGGCTTACTGGGACTATTCGGGTATCGTGCGGGATCCGCAACTGTACAACGCGAGAACTCTTTGGCGCCACAGAACCGCCCAGGATTAAGCTGCTGACGCCGCGCTTCTGGGGCGATAAATAGTTCTCGCGTTGCCACAGTGGTAGATTCCGGTCGATACCCGATATCTGCCTTCCCTTAGATAGTTCTGAATCTAAGGAGAGGGAATATACTATATTCAAATTCCACTATACCATATTCCTAAGAGTATCCACAGAAAGCATCGCGGACGAAAACGTCGCGGAGAAAATAACGCAAGGCGAAAACGTCGTTGTATAAATCAACACGCGGAAAAAGAAAACAATGAGAAAACATCGCAGTTCTAAATCATCGTGTTATAAACCATCGTCTTCGAAAATAATGCGGTTCATCGCAGTTTTAAAACGTCTTTGTCGAAAATATCGTGGTAAAAAATAAAGCACCTACAAAACCATCGCATGACGATAACATTGCAGACATGCGTTTTCAGACTTTACAAATTCCATGTAGTATAAGGAGATTTGGGAGCGCAAGAAGAAGCGAGGAATATTTTTACTTTTATATTTCATATTTTTGAATTAGCTAATAAATTTTGATGAAAAAATAAGAAGGAGATTTAAGCATTCAAAAACTGAAAATGAGTAGAAAATAATGTTATGTATAGCAGTTAATAGAATTTTAAATTTATATAGTTAAATAATAAAGATAATTAATTAATTAATCTTGTTCACCAAGTTTTATTGTTATTTTTCATGAAAAGTGTAGTCTAAAAAAGATTAGAAAACAAACGACATGGTGTTCACAAATCATTATGCTAACATCCGTTTAAAACTTTTGAAGTCTGAAAAACTCATGTCTGCGAAAAAGAAAATGATCATCATGAAATGATCTGTAGGTGTTTTATATTGTACAATGATATTTTTTACGACAATGTTTTAAAACTGCGATATTTTTAACTGCCTTATTTTCTACTCCGATGTTTGTACTACCATTAACTGTGATGTTTTCTCCTTGCTTTCTTTCTTCCCACGGCTTTCGCTATGCATTGTTTTCTCCGCGGCGGTTTCGTCCGCAATGTTTTCGCCTGTAACCATTCTTAAGGAGTTACACTGGATTCAAATAACTTTACCTTAATTTCTTATCGATTTGAAATGATATTCTAGACAGAGTACTACTTTTGATTATATGGCTGTTTAAATTTGAATCCGGGAATCTCTGTCTGTTTCAAAGAGAAGTTTTTTTGATCAATACTCACCTTGGTATCTCATATTCCTGTGCATATTGGGGCAGTCTTTACCCTAAAATATAAATAAATATTGAAATATGAACTAAACTCTCGAGATACATAATAAAAATTCAAAATTTAAAACATTGTATAATTCGCTATTCTTAATGTAACCCTGTAATTCACACATTGCGTTCACAAAATTGCTATTTAGCTCAGCTTGTTTTCCGTGTTTGAATTCCTTTTGAACAACAATTCTTATTACGTAAAATATAAGTACTTCAAACCAGAGATTTGAGTTACGTGTACATAATTACAGTTTCTGTAGTATATTCCAAGTAATAACTGCAAGTAAATTTTTAAGCCATTGGATTCAGAAAATTAATACACGAGAAGCCGCTTAATGTGATCACTATAATGTCGTTATGAATTGCTAAGTCCCGTGTTTTAAGGAAGTCACCAAATAAGCGGTCGCGGACACTTAGCCGACAGGACACTTAACCGACACCAGTTAGCCGACAAGACATTTAGCCGACAGGGACACTTAGCCGACATGGACATTTAGCCGACATGGACATTTAGCCGACAGGACATTTAGCCGACAGGGACACTTAGCCGACAGGACATTTAGCCACACGGACACTTAACCGACAGGTCATTTAGCCGACACGGACATTTAGCCGACAAGACACTTAGTCGAAAAGGACACTTAGCCGACAGAACATTTAGACGACATGGAATGTTAGCCGACAGGACATTTTGCTGACACAGAGAGTTAGCCGTCAAGACATTTAACTACGGGACACTTAACTATCAACACATTTATTCGACAGGACACAAAGCCGACAGTAACGTTTAGCTGGCACGTACCCAATAATTGTTCAAACTTACTATCAATTACAAATTTCTCGACTTCTTCGTAAGTTCAATATTTAAGTTATTTTTTCACTATCAGTACAATTCATTTTGAGATTCTTAAAGATCTCATATATACTTTTAATTATTGTGTTAATTTAGCATTGTTTGATATATATCCATGGACCTTATAAGAAATAGGCCAACCCAAATGGGTTTTCTCCCTTGCCTTGGCGTATTGCCGGCTATCACCTTGACCACATCCTCCTCCGGGACGACTTGCAGAAACTTAACAATAGTTGGCTATTGCAGCGCGTATAATTTTCAAGAAAAAGCTGGTGATATGACCTCATTTCACAAATTAGAATTTTTAGATATTTTTATTTTTGAAACTGAGATTGATTTTTAAAAATTTAGCATGTTTATCAAGCGTAATTAATGTTCTAAATAATTATAAAGCTGTTACATGCTTTCATGTCTTGATATTTTTTAACTTTTCCTATGCTGTAAGGAAATTTGTATCTCCTTCTTTTAAAAAATAATATTTTAAATCTGAACTAATAGAAAAATTCAAACAAACAATTTAAGATGTCTAGAAACCAGACTTCGCGAACTTCATTTCTCTTGCATCGAAATTGATGAGCTAATTTCTCTCACTCAACTCTGTTTGAAACAAACACATTTTGTTTTCCAAAATAAATATTACAAGCAAACTGAGGGATTAGCCACGGGAAGCTCCCTCAGTCCCATCCTGGCTGATATCTACATGCATTATTATGAATCAAAATTGTTTGAAACTTTAAAACTTCCCGGCATGGTTCCGCTACGTAGACGATACTTTTACCCTGTTTGAAGGTAATAAAGATGATTTAAATAAAGTTCTTTCAACAATGAATTCTATTGATCCTGCTATTCAGTTCACTTTTGAACTTGAGACTTGCAATTCTCTTCCGTTTCTCGACATTCTGGTCACACGTAACACATCCAACTTCAGTACTACGGTTTACCGTAAACCTTCATCGGTTTGCCTTCCACCGCACTTTAAATCATGTCATCCGACTAAACAAAAGTTAGCTTCATTTTATTCCTATGTTTTCCCGTGCTCTTCAAGTTTGCTTCTCCAAACTATCCCTTGATGAAGAACTAAATTATTTTTAAAAGCAATAGCTATTGACAGGGGCTTTTCACCCAACATTATTAATCAAGCAGTTAAAAAATTCTCATCTCAAAACACACTAAAAGGCCACACTCTTGTTTTAGGAGATTATAAAAATTCTGTTGTCATCCCTTCTTTCCATCAATTAGCTATAAAGTTGCACATATTTTGCAGAAAAATTTAACTTTCGGGTTGTTTATTCTCCCATCAATAAAATTCCAACTTCTATACTCAAGGACCCCATTCCGGATATGAATTCCTGGGGTATTTATAGGATTCCTTGCCAGTGTGGTTTAATTTACATTGGCCAAACTAAGAGAGCCTTAAAATTTCGCGCGTCAAAGAACATGAGGCATATGTTAGAAAAAAGGAAACACAGAAGTCTTCTGTTGCTCAACATTGTTGGTCCGAAAATCACACTTTCAATTTTTCTGCTGCTGCCAAAATTATTCAAAAAACATCTTCCATTGGAGAACTGGATTTTCTAGAGGCATTTCACATTCATAAAAATCTTTCTGTTCTAGTTAACGATCCTAATTCCAATCCAAATTTGCCTTCGGCTTTTAGAGAAATTATGTTTTAGTTCTGGTTTCGCCAACAGATGGCGCCACTTGCTTATTCTTGTCCAGGCTTTCTTATCTTATCTAATCATTATTTCCTATCTTGTTCATTTGCGGTTTTGCAGCTGAAGATGGTGGTTCGGTAAAACCATCGAAACTAGTCCTGTGAAAATTTTGTAAATATAACGCTGATTTTTGTTGTTTGACTTCTGAATTAGTATTTATTCGACGTGTTATTGTGTCTTAAACAATTTTCTCTTACAATTTTTATGCTTTTTATTAGCGTAAATATGTAAAAAATACTAAAATCGAAAAAAATGGATTTTTGAAAGTTTTTGCTTAAAATTCTTATTTGTACTGCTTTTTTTAAAAGTATATCTGAATATTATAGCATAATATTCTACAAAGAAGTTTTATTTCAATAATATTTCATAATACATCACAGTGATTAACACTTTTAACACTTTAATAATTTTATGCATTTATTCTAATGTTAAAAATTGTATTTAACTGTAATAATTAATTGTGCTAGTATTTTATAGTGATTATTTTTTTTAAATTTATGTCTAGTTCTGCATAAGTTTTCTTATTTATTGCTAATTTATTTTATTAACCCAAAGGGGCGGCAGCTCAGAAAAGCTATTAGTTTCGAAACGTCATTTTGCTTTGTTTCACTATAAATGTCCGTTTCACTTTGCAAACTGTTGCCACCAAATATTATCGCCCTGTATTAAAGTTAAAGAAATTAAATAATGAAGAATCTGCATGAATGCATGTATGTTTCTCTCGCACTGTGAAAAAAAACAACAGAATTTAAAATCATAAAATTTTGAATGACGTAATTCTCCACCCGAACATGGGCACCTGGACGGCCTAATTTCGAATTTGTTTTAATCCATTTGATATTTTGTAACTTTAACGAAGTTTTGATTAAGAAACTCAACGAGTTCAAAGCAAGCAATGGCAACCCTGTACAGAAAATAACAATCTCCAGTGTGGAAATTCTAAAGATATGTCATTTTCAAATATTTTGTGATATTGTTCTTGAATTAAATTTTATGTGGTTTACTTGCGAAGAATGTTATGTTTAATAAATAAAGGTAACACGCAAAACGTTACAAAAACGCTCCTTTGGGCATAATATAAAATTATATTGCTGAGTGCTTCCAGAGTTTATCCTATTTTCCCACTCATTACGCTCAAAAAAGGTTATGCTCCGAATTTTATGAATTACTAAAATAAATAATCATCTTGCAATGTTAATAATTAATGATCATATAATCAAATAAATGATAGTCTTGTTATGTTATAATAATTTTAAAAACTACTGCCTAAAAATGCTCATAAAATCAAAAAAAATTATCAGATCTTGTTTAATTTTACCTTATTTGTTTCAAAGCATCATATGCTATAAGTATTATTTAATTTTACTTTATTTGTACACAAAAGTAAGTTCATAAGTTTTGCGTTTAGAATTTTTACCGTTTTACTAAAGTAAAGAAATTTATACAAGAATTACGCTTCAAAAAAATGCGCAAAATGCAGTAAAAAGTGCTTTTATGAAATATGTTAAATCTTGTTTTCAAAAACTGGGACTTTCATAATCTCATCACTTATACAACGTATCACATTAAATAATTAAAAACAGTTATGTGATACAAACGCCAGCGGTTTCCGTGTTAAAGTAAGCCAGATCGTCCCTACTCTTTCTTACGGGCCCACCAGCGGCTGAGCGGTAAACGTCGCTGAACACTGTTAGTTCGGTTCGAATCCCGCGAACGGGCTGGCTGCATGGGTGCTCTCTTTGTTTTCCCCATGTGTATACGAGTATACGAGCCAGTTTCCCTTAAAAAGTCCTCCGCGAAGGCATCCCTTTATAAAGCGCTGAAATTTCTCGTCAGGGAATATGAATGAAATTTCGAAAGGAAAAAAGAATTCCTTTAGCTAAGTACGGCGGTCACTTAATTTACATTTTAATGTGAGATCTTCAAAAATTATCCATAAAGCTTCTTCATTTAATCAACTGGGTTCTTTTGAACACTTTCACTTCATTAATAATTTTTCTTATTTACTTAATGATATTAATTTTCCAATCTCGCTCTTCCAAATGCTTTCAAATTTTTAATACCTTTACGTTTCATTACTATTTTAGACATCACATGATGTTACATTCTTTCCCTTACAAAATCGTTTGGCTCTTCCCACTAAGGAAATTTCCTTTCCCTTTTAATGAGAAATCTGAATAATGCAATAAAAATTATTGTTATTCTTGAATTATACTTTTTAGGAAACGTATGGTGGTGAGGGTTAGTTTAGCAAATATATTTTATTTTGGTATTAAAAAACAATTAAAAAAAAGTGAATTTTTAAGACAAGCAAAGGTATAAATTATTTGTGACCTCTATAATTTGCAGTTCATGCCACCATTCTTGAGATAAAAATTCTGTAACATTTTATTGATCACGCCTCTCGCTTAAAATACTTACTTAGGTTAATGTTTAT